ATGGGCCAATAGTTTCCATTACATTTATCTCATCTCCCGTCTTTTGCAGCTAACGGAAATGAGTGCCACACAGGCAGATAAGGTATAGTCTGAACTACATTTGCATTAGCGGTAGTTTGAGAAAAACAAAACCTGAATTCTCCATGAAACACGCCTTTTCCATAGATAACCAAAATAGTTTAAGCAAAACTTTTTACAGTAGTTGATGGCAAATAAAAACTTAATGCAAAACCCTCAGACCTGCTCTTAAACCCTCGCTACAGCCCCGGTGTGCTGCGAGAGCGATGCAGAGGGACCTAGAGCCGGCCGAAAGTGCAGAGCAAAGGATTTCCCCAGCATGAGCAAATCGGTGGCTGACACGAGGCTGGCAGAGCCGCTCTTACCTCTGCCGCCTTTCCTCCCACCCTAGCCTGCACAGTGCGGGAGCACTGGCCAAGGCGCCCATCTCAAGGTGTTTGCTCCAAACACCTTGGATGCTGGAAACCCTGCAGTTATCCCAGCTTATATCAGGTCTGGGTACCGGTACTGGCTCTGGTACCGAGCTTGAGCCACCCTTGGGTCCCTCTCCTGGTTTTACCAAGCGTGAACGCGAGCTTGGCACAACTTGTGATTTTAAAAGAAGTCAGCGTGCAAAAAGCCTCCCGCCGATGCCGACGCCGAAGCCCCTCTCCTGGGGCGCTGAGGTGGGCAGGAGCCAAGGCTCTGCGCTGGCTGTGGACCCACCACCCCCTCCTCGGGGGTCTCAGCCTCTCTTCCCTCCAAACACGCGCTTGGAAGGCGAGTGCGTGCCAAGCCGTTCTCTGAGGTACAAACACAGCGAGCACGCTCGCTGCTGCCTGCCTACTCCAGAGGATTTCCTGGTGCTTTCAGGAGACTGAAAGCGAGCTGAAATGTTCTAGTGCTTTAAAGGAGGACTAGGCATTGGTGGGAGGCTTGTTTAGTATCTGAGTGGGATCATGACTACGATGTTCATCTGCATGTTACCAGCATGGAATATACGCACTTGGGAGCAGTTTGAAGACGAGCAGGCTCGGAAAGAAAGGAAAGCTCTTCCAGGGAGGGAGGAGGCAGAGTGAACGACTGCTAACACTTGCAGCATGAAGATCGGGGAAAAGATGGAGATATCAGAGCGGGATAATCTCCAGGAGGAGGAGATCAGGCACAGCAAATCAACACTTGATGGGAGGCTACCCTAAATATGTACTGGGAGGATGGTATTTACCCTCCAGGCAGTAGCAGGGCAGGTGCCAAATCCGCCTGTTGAAGAAGCGGGAGGTTACCAGCCAAACTAGCACACAATGACCCCGGGGGACCTTTCTTTCAAACACGCCATTAGATTGCTGGCGTGGAGAGAAGTTGGCAGCCCCGTTTCACACCAGCGATGATGTAATATAGCTCTTATTTCAGAAGCGTCTCCATAAACTTAACAGCTACTGTTATCGTCTGATTCTGCTCAGATTGCTAACGCTGGTGGTGTTTGAGGCGGATTTTCAGTGATCTCTGAAGGAGCAGCCCGTGCATAATGGATGTAAGGTGTCTTTAAGCATGTGCTTAGCAGTCATCCACACGTTTTGGTAGCCTTTCAAGTACATGAAAAAGCCAACCGGCAATAGCTCGTTGTTCTCAAAGATGTTTTAAGGCAGGGAACGAACGTTTGCAGCTGGCTTAGGATTTTGGCATTTGGCAGGTTGGTTCGAGACACTGTGACTTTCTAGCAATGCTCTTGCAGTATTCTTCACGCTCTTTTGTCTGAGAGAGGGGAAAATGTATGAGTGATTCCCACTTAATTAGGCCTCATCTGCTAAACAGTTATGTCACTATTTACATACGAGTAGTCCCACTGAAGTTAAGTCCTACAGCTGTATACTTCATCTGGTAACAATGTAAATCCAAGATAAACAGACTTGGAAGGAGAGATGTACATTGCCTTATATGTATGAACTACCTGAATCCAGCAAATGCTGTGCCGTGTCGTTCTGGCAAGAGCTAACAGCTATCCCGTTTCAACACCCTGTAAACGGATCACCTGATTATTAGTTTTAAACGGTGGACCAAACTCTACTCACTAGTCCTGACTTTTACTGAACTGTATCACTTGTCAAATGAGTAACTTTGAATCAGTTGTGCCCCTCCACCGTAATAAGAAAAAATAATCCTCCGCACCTATTCACGTCAAGTGATCTTTCGTGGCTGGGTCTCCCATGGCCTAGGGATCAACCCTTCTAGAGATAAAAACCACAGTCGGAAACAAGACTTAGGGAAAGGAAATGGCTGGAAACTCAACAGACGTCTGGGTTTAATTCTGCTCCATCCCCTTTCTAATGCCTTTCTTGCAGGAATCTCTCTCAGCTGTCTGTCAGTGAGCCTCCTCCATCATTTCTGTGCATTGACTGATGTCCCAGCTTCAGCTTTGGTCCATCAGAATGCCTTGGGCTGTTCTCTCACCAATGAATGGCACTACAAGGGAAGGACCGTGATTGCTTTATCCTACCTCCTCCTCTTCTGCCAGATAAACCCCATGCTCTATAGCATGCCGTATGACCCTACCAATGACAGTTTGTTCTCCCATACGCTTTGGTACCATTCTCTTGATTACTGTGCCTGGTTTTTTTCATGAACTAGTTCAGACTGACGTGACTGAAGCGATGTAAATCAAACTATCCCCTCGGCAAGCACGTGCTTGATTTGGTCTAACAAGCATGAGATGGGTTATCACTTGTCACCTATCCCCAGCGAAGTAGGTGGAGTCGTGTTGTGTTATCTTAAGCAGAAGTCTTGACCGGGAGCTCTTCTAGTTAGCTCTCCAAAGGAGTATCTTTACTTGTGGTTCTGTCAGCATGACCCTGCCTTAGTATTGCTGGCAAACGCCATCAGTTTGCTCTGGAAAATGCAGCTGGACAGGACTGAAACCACAGCATGTCCAGTTCCTGCTGTGGATCTCCTGGGAAGCTTTCTTGGAAGTTTTTTTTATAGGTTTAACATTACTACATCAATATAATACTGTGACCTGGCAAAGGTTTCTTCTGGACATCTCTAACAACTGAGACCGTCATCAGAAAATGAAAATATCTAGAAGTTAATGAGATGAGAAGTAGCGGAGGAACGGTGCTGTAGATAAAATACTTTCTTACAAGTGATACAGCTGGAGTTACTTTCTCAATGAAAGGCTATGTTTCTTGAGCTATCAAAAAAGTATGTAGAAATATTTTTTGTAACTGACACTGCATCTTTATAAAGTTCTTTGTCCAAAACCACTGAGGACTCCATGGAGTCAGAAACTTTTAAGACTTAGATACATATTTGTGTAGTCAAAATATGAACCGTATGTCTTACTACCCAAAGTAGATATTACCATAGTTATTTTACTCCCTTGAGGGAGTGGCAGGAGCTACTTGCTTAGAAGCCTGGGACAAAGCAGAACTCCCTGCAAACCCACTTGTTGAAACACTCTGTGATTTTTTTTTTTTTTCCCCTTTAATGTGGTTTAAAAAGCGGTATTCCCAACTACTATTAACACTAACTATGAGTACTTCCAACTGTTGGAAGAAAACTTCAGCTTCCTGACTGAAGATCAATACTTAAGGACGGGGCTCGGGTGACAACCGATAGGGTGATCTATTGGGTGCAGGCTTACATCGGCACCAGCCTTTCTGCCCGGCTCTGCCTCTTGCATGTCATACAGCAAGTATGTAATGCCGGCGAAGGGATTCAGCCGTTCTCTTCAGGGCAGCTTTGCTGGAGCCCACTTGACTTTTCTTCTAACACCTTGCCCCCAGGACAGCCGAGGCAGGAAAGTACCAGCTGTACCAGTCTTAGGGCAGCATCTGCTGGTTATTGCATGGATCAACATAAATGGTTGTCATGGAAGAGGCTGCTTGCTTTGGCTCCCAGGCAGAGGTACCTGGGACGCAGGGCGGGGGGGGCGGGGGGGGAGAACGGGGGGTCTGAAGAGAACCGACCCGTAAATGCAATCCTAACAGTCCAGGAGAGAACTGGAGCGGGCGAGGAGCTGCTGGGTCTTGGTCTGGCTCTTTCCCGGTATGAGAGGCAGCACCCACAAACTTTGGAGAGTCCAGCTTCAGTTGGCTGCAATCCGCCTCCAAAGGCAAAGAAACCCGC